CATTTTAAATAAAAACATATCACCATATGAAAATTTTCTTGATAAATAGAATAAAGAAGTTATGTGAATATATTTTATAGATGAGTTTCCTGAGTTTTAGCTGAATGCATATCAAATTCTTGTAGGTGTTTTATGCTAGTTGTAAAAGGTATTTGGTGCTTTAATAACTTTTTATTAACTATAACAGCTATGAAGATTGCTAGTTTATTTAGCTCAGGTGTATACCTTATTATTTCTGAACCATTTTTAAACCATTTTTTTGTGAAAAGTTTACAAGGAGAAGAAAGGAAGTTTATAATATAATGTGTTTTATGATATTTGAAAACAAAACTTGAAACCACAGATTTGAAGCTACAGAATTTAATAGATAGTATTAGTTCTAGCAGCTGTAGAATTAATTCTTCACTTTTTTTAGGCACGTCTATCTATAAAGAGATGGTACACAAGGCTACTTCTGTACAAATCCTAAAGCCTGAATTAATAAGGACAAAAATTCTATATGGAGTATGAGTAATGGATGTCTCAGTTACCAAGGGAGAGAACACTGAATTACAATGCAAATTCACATACTCATTCATCATATAAACCTATTTTGAACACACAGGTTTGTCTCTAGAGATTCTCAGTCATCCAGGTCCCGGTTTCCCAAAGGTGCTTTTTCAAAAGGCAACTGGACTTTGTTTTTCCTTGAAGATGTTTTACTTCTTATTCAAGAAGCTTCTTCAGTTCTGACTCAATGGTGGAGGATGGAAGGATTTGTATTCCTTGCACTTATCTGGTCATTAGCCTTCTTTCTCAGAGTCACTGAGATCACTTGGAGGTTTATCTGTGCCCTCAGAGACACCTGAACAGTGCAAATGGGCGTGGAACTTTCTTTCAGCAGTTCCATGATCCTTCCTAAATCCTTCCATCGGAGGGACTTGAATTATGAAAGCTAAAAATTGACTCACTTATACCAGTATGGCATGCAGTGTCTTAAATTTTCCACACATAGTTACAAAAAAATATTTCCTGTAGAGTAAATAAACAAATATAAAAGTAGCCAATAGTCTTAGATTATCTAATCAAGTCTTTAAAAAAGACTTTTCCTGGTATTTTCTCATCTAATCAAATTTAAATTCTGCTATAAATATTTTCTTCTTTGGGTACTTTTTTAATGTTATAATTACTCTACAGGAAATA